AATTTAGGTAAAAGGGTTTAAGGGTTGGAAATTTACTAAAAAAAAAAAAAAAAAAAATATACGAAATGTTAGTGAACAAATTGCATTTTATTCAACAAATAAACAATTTATCATTTTTTCTTTAGAGAAGTATCAGAAAAGAAATTAAAAATTTCACATTTTTCTTTTTTCTTCTCCTTCTTTTCTTTCCCTCTCTTAAAATTTTTTCAATTAATGGATTTTTTTTTTTGAAAAGGAAAAAAATTAGCAAATAAATGAATTTAAATGAAGAATTGATAATCATTGTGTTGAACAAATAATAGAATACTTATAATTAGAATGTATTAAAATTATGTTAAAAATTTTGGAACAAATAATTTTTCTTTCTTTTAGACTTTTTTTTTTAAACAGCAATAAAATAAAAAATTTATACAAAAAAAAACGATGTAAATTAAAATTAAAAATTATCAATTAATAATAGATTAGATTAAAATAAAATTTTTCCTCAATTTTTTTTTCTTTCAAATAAATTATCATACATTTTACTCTAACAATAATTAATGCAATAAAATAAAATGAAATATTTTTTTTTATCAAATGTTAATGATAATATCATGAATTCATACAGTAAATTATGTAAATTTTATTAGCATTTTATTGTTATGCTATGAAATTGAAAAAGACGATAATAGCCAATAGTATAAAATTACAAAAATATTATGAAACAATTATCAAATGGTACTGTAGGATGTCACAATGTCACACTATTAGTAAAACGAATGAAAAATTAATTTTTCAAACTAATTTATTATCTAAGCCATTGTGTTGGTTTCATTTGGTCACATCTAATTATTGTCGAAAACATATGAAATTAATTAATGCGAAAATTAATTAACACACGGATTTAAGTCTTCCATGTCAGATGTCAAATTTTATGATGAATTATTGAAAGTTTAATTCAAAAAAAAAGGGAAAAAAACTTCCTCATCAATTCATCCAAGTTTAATTAATCAATTAGCAAAAATTTATCAAAATATCTTAAACATTCGAGAATAAATTTTTTTTTTTTACAAACGGATGCAAAAATGGAATCGACAAAGTTTTACAGTTTAACAAAATGTATTAGTTATACCGTAGGAAGACCAATTACTGTATAGATAAATAAATTACTGTATTTTATTTTTTTACTGTATCATTTTACAAATGAATTTTCAGAAAACTTTACAAAAAAAAATATTGGAGATGATTTTGTGTAAAAAATATGTAAAATGATACAAATTTGATTTTTTTTTCAACAACAGTAATCCAGTTTGCACAGGCAAAGCATAAGAATGGAATTTAATGCAAGTTGAATTTTAAGTACTGAAAAAAAATTAATTAAACAATTAATGTAGTACTAATTAATCATAAATAATTTGATTTAAAATTGAGCATTGGAAATAAAAATTTTGATAAGATTAAAACAAAAAAAAATTTCTGAACGTAACTGAAGTTAAATTAATTTAGCTAATACAAATTTTGCAAATTTCGACAGGTAAAAAATTCAGTTCAATTTTTGGAATGTACTAATAAAATTTCTAGAAGTTATAAAAACATGCTGCAATTAATGATTTTTGGCAAGCAAGGCTTTAAAATATTAGTTATTTTACAAAATTTTCGCTAATTAATTGGCTTAATTTTATTTTTGTTTCATTTTTTTCCTATTTTTTTTGTTTTTTCACTTGTTTTTCATTTTTTGAACTCTAGCAAATTTTACTTTTAGAATTTTGACATTTTTTTTTTGAATCTTATCAAGTTTAAAAACTCTCAAAAGTTTTAGCAAAATTCTTTTCGAATTTTTCATTTTCAATGTTTAGTTTTAATTTCGACTTCGAATTTTCAACATTCTTTTTTGATTTCGAATTTTAGTTATAATTAATAAAAAAAATGTTTAAAATTCCAAGCATACCATTTATGTGATATTAGATGCAATTAATTAATATTTAAATTGATTGTTATCTTACAAATATACTAACAAATCTTTAACAATTCAAAAGTTCATCCTTTTTTTTAAAAAAAAAACTTGGCAAAAAAATTTTTGAGAAAAAAAACCATTTCAAATAAATTGCTGATAATTATTCTAATCTTTTATGTATTTTAACTAATATTACTAAATTATTTAACAAATTTTCGATGCAATTATCCTAAGCAATTATTCCTGTCAATAATTATTACTCATTTTCATTTTCTTCTTTTTTTTTATGCAATTCAAATTAAATAATTAATTTGTTCCTAACTAAATTAAGTTTCAAATTTTAAGTTTTTCTTTTCCAGAAACAAAAAGAAATTCAGGTTTCTTTTCTGTTAAAATTTTGAAATAATTTATCAATAATTATCTAATTTTTGATATGCTTCTTTTACTAATATTACTAAATCATTTTTAGGATGTAATTTATCTTAGATATAATTATCCTTTTAGCAATTCGAAAAATAACAGACAACATTCATTGCTAGAGAAGGAGCATTCCATTTATTTTTTTTAATTTTTTTTTTTTTTTTTTGTCAGTGAAAATACCATAATACTGTGTTATCATTGAAGTTTCGTCATTCCGATGTTTTGCTAATTTGATTATCATTTAATTAAACTTTATCATTTAATAAAATTAGAATAATTATGAAT